CCCCCCCCCCCCTTCCCCCCTTCCCCTCCCGCTGCTTCCTAGAAGATCAGTTCGCTCTCGACCCACACGGCCGTCTAGCCATTACACCAGGCGACCAATTCGTCGAGGAGGGCCGATCACGTTCATTCCAGAGCCATCATGCAAGCTACTGAGCGCGAAATGAACTGCTCTTCTCATTCGAACATTGAAGGCAGTCAGTCAGGCGAAGCTCAACTGCTCATGGACTATGAGGTCCAGACAGGGTATGACAGCCAGGCAGGTCAGGCAGGCAGGTAAGCAGTAAGCAGGCACGCAGGCAAGCAAGTAGGCAGGCATGCATGCAGGCAGGTGCGTAGACGGGCCTGCATGCAGGTCAGGTACGCAGGCAGACAGGTGGGCAGGCAGGCAGGCGAGCAAGTAGGCAGGCACGCAGGCAAGTAGGCAGGCAGGCAGGTGAGTAGGCGGGCCTGCATGCAGGTCAGGTACGCAGGCAGGCAGGTAGCAGGCACGCAGGGAGGACAGTCAGGCAGGTAGGCAGGCAGGAGAGTAGGCGGGCCTGCATGCAGATCAGGTACGCAGGCAGGCAGGTGGGCAGGCAGGCAGGTGAGTAGGCAGGCAGGTGAGTAGGCGGGCCTGCATGCAGGCAGGCACTCAGGCAGGGAGGACAGGCAGGTAGGCAGGCATGCAGGCGGGCAAGTAGGCAGGCACGCAGGCAGGAAGGTGAGTAGGCGGACCTGCATGCAGGTCAGGTACGCAGGCAGGCAGGTGGCAGGCACGCAGGGAGGACAGTCAGGCAGGTAGGCAGGCACGCAGGCATGACAGGCAGGCACGCAGGTACAACCTGCAGACCATGAGACTTACGACTTACCAGTTGCTCTATCTATGAGTGCGGAGCCCTCGCCCGTACCTATGACTCGATTTCTCCGCACTTATAGATAGAGCTACTGGTAAGTCGTCAGTCTCATGGTCTGCAGGTTGTACCTGCGTGCCTGCCTGTCATGCCTGCGTGCCTGCCTACCTGCCTGACTGTCCTCCCTGCGTGCCTGCCTACCTGCCTGACTGTCCTCCCTGCGTGCCTGCCACCTGCCTGCCTGCGTACCTGACCTGCATGCAGGTCCGCCTACTCACCTGCCTGCCCACTTGCCTGCCTGCGTGCCTGCCTACTTGCCCGCCTGCATGCCTGCGTGCTTCCAGGCGGTGACGAAATAAATCAGTTCATACGGCGTAAGACGATTTTACGGATCGAGGTCGGAATGGGATCGGGACGTGGGTGTTTTCGCCTCCTCCAGTAGTATCCAGACAAGCCTGATCCCTGTCTCTCTGATAAGTGTTCGAGCCCTTGGATTTATTGCGTGGGATCAAGGTGGGTCCCTTCTCATGGCAACATCACAGTTCAATCACGTGCCACTGGCTGTATGCGGCAATCGCCTTGAGAAAAGAGATAGGAAGCTCCTTCAACGAAACCACCACCTTCTCTTCCAGAATCCAAATCCATTCATCGCTCAATCACCAGGCTCGCTTGCCGTCACGCCACTTTACTTGTTGATATGCAGATATCACTTCACTCCGAATTAGTAATAATTACTCTTTGATGTGCACAAGTTTTTCACCGCCTGGAAGCTTTAGTTTTTTCTTTGTCAAAAAAAAAAAAACAGTTTTTTTTTTTTGTCAATTTTTTACCGATAGGGGAATCCTATAAGCCCAACTTATGAAAATTGATGCCATCTCCAGTTTTCCTTTAGTTTTTTTTTTTTTGTAAAAAAAAAAAAGTTTTTTTTTTTTTTTTTAACCGATAGGGGGAATCCTATAAGCCCAACTTATGAAAATTGATGCCATCTCCAGTTTTCCTTTCGTTTTTTTTTTGTCAATTTTTTACCGATAGGAGGAATCCTATAAGCCCTACTTATGAAAATTGATTCCATCTCCAGTTTTCCTTTTTTTTTTCTTCCAGTACTTGGATTTCTATATATTATCTAAACAAAACAAAGCAAAGCAGGCTGACCATAGCCATTTCGTACCCATCGAAATTTGCAATTATTCAATTGAATTAATAATTCCATTTAATGCCGATCGGCTTTGTTCAGCTATATATAACACCAGTAAAAGACCTCCAGTATGAAAACTTCGGAGATTTAATTGAGTTTACAGGTTCTCAGCTTGAAACTTAATTGAGTTAAGTTAATTGAGTTAACATTCTCGAGCTGTCTTCCGGGACATACGTTAAAATTGGAACGATACAGAAGAAAAGAGAAGATTGGCATGGCCCCTTGGGCAAGGATGATGACAAGCAAGAAGCATAATCCGAGAAATGGGCCGAATGAATCTTGCGCAGGGGGCCTGTGTTTTCCGCCCTGTTTTAATCACCACCGTCCACGAGAACAATTTGTAATTTAATAATTTATTTATAATTGTTTATGCAATTTAGCAATTTATATTTTTTAATGCCATTGATTGATTGATTGATTGAATTTGATTCCTTTCCTGATTTATCTTTCTTGATTTAGAGAGAGAGAGAGAGAGAGAGAGAGAAGAGAGAGAGAGAGAGAGAGAAGAGAGAGAGAGAAGAGAGAGAGAGAAGAGAGAGAGAGAAGAGAGAGAGAGGGAGAATCGGAATCGCCACGGCAACGTCGATGCAGACAAAGAGAGAGAGAGAGAGAGGGGAGAGAGAGAGAGAGAGTGTGTGTGTG